ACTTTGCCTACTACAACTTCAAGCGTGGGGAGGTGAAGAAGTCAGCTGACGACACTGCGGACCCTGACCCCAACTTTGCCTACTACAACTTCAAGAAGCGTGACTAGACGGGCTGATACACTGCTTCAATGGTAGATTCTCATATCGGGCCATTAGCAAGCCTCCCTGATGTAGTCAATTGACACCATTATGGATTCGGTAGTTAGAACTTCAGACATTTGAAGGTTAACTGTCAAGGCTTGTTCTAGCTTCATATGAAATACGCATATATTATGTCAGGGGTCCATGACATAATTCAATCTGGAAGATCTTACTTGGTGGTGTCATATGTGCGGCCTGTGACGTATTTGACAGGTATTCAGATCTTATATTGGCCTACGTAGTACAAGCGTCTGTGTTGCAGCTATCGTGGCTGTGCTCCAGTTGCCACGGTGGTACATACACACACAATTTATTTACGCCCGGCGGCCGAGCCGAAAGGGCTACTAACGCTAGTCTAGCTTTACACTTCCTATGCTACGTCTTGGTCTCCTTAGCCCATATGTCTTCTTTGGCCCACTTCTTTATATATGTTATCGTCTAAATCAAAGCCCTTACTCACTACGTTGGCACGCCTCTTCTCTATCTACGATCGCTCCTCATCAAGTGCTCGTGGGTTAGTATTGCTGGTGGCAGACTGGCTCAGAGTCGGCATCTCTACGAGATTCTCCAAGTGTTCAACGTCCTATCTTCGGCAGCTGAAGCGCTGTCTGCTGCTAGTTGCACGAGCCTACTAATGAGTTTGTGTTAGTAGCTGAGAGTTACCTAGTAGTTAGTTAGATATTAGTTTGCGTCAAGTCTCTGTGTTGCTATTGCGAATCGTATCGTAGCTCGCACTGCGTCCATGTCTAGCGCCCATTTCGCGTCGTCCGTCGCTGCTTTGCCGCCTAGGTAGAATGATATATTTCCTCTGCTTATCTGCGTGCACTGCAGCATTTCTGTCCGCTGTGGGTGGTACATACACTCTCATGCAGTTGCAGCTTCCGGTTTCTGTAAGCAGGCAACCTCTAATCCCACGCTAAGCCTCTGTCGCTTAGTGGTAACCTTGCCTAAGTAGTATTAGTTTCTGTCAGCAATGCGTCTTCTTTAAAGCCTCAGACCAATCAACGTATCATGTTCTTATGGCTTAACTAATTTTGGACAAGCGCGCCCTAGACGGGTCCGTGTCCTGCGTGGGATGATAGTTGGGCAATGTGCGCAAAGCGGAAGCTGCAAGTGATTGAGAGTGTATCGC